AAAAAAGACTAAGTCCCATCGCCGAATGGGACTAAGTCTCTGCAGCTGAAATAAGGCTGAAAAAAACGGCTGAAAAAAAGACTAAGTCCCATCGCCGAATAGGACTTAGTCTCTGCAGCTGAAATAAGGCTGAAAAAAACGGCTGAAAAAAAGACTAAGTCCCATCGCCGAATGGGACTTAGTCTCTGCAACTGAAATAAGGCTGAAAAAAAGACTAAGTCCCATCGCCGAATGGGACTTAGTCTCTGCAGCTGAAATAAGGCTGAAAAAAACGGCTGAAAAAAAGACTAAGTCCCATCGCCGAATGGGACTTGGTCTCTGCAGCTGAAATAAGGCTGAAAAAAACGGCTGAAAAAAAGACTAAGTCCCATCGCCGAATGGGACTTAGTCTCTGCAGCTGAAATAAGGCTGAAAAAAGCGGCTGAAAAAAAGACTAAGTCCCATCGCCGAATGGGACTTAGTCTCTGCAGCTGAAATAATTTCCCATTTACTGAACCAAGTGGGAAATAGCAAGGCAGGCACAAAGGGTTTGCACCAGGTCTGGGGACACAGGGGACACCGTCTTAAAGGGGCCGTGTCCCCAGCAAGTCTGGGGATATGCGGCAGCCAAAGGGGCAGTGTCCCAATCTTCCTGATGTCCCAAAAGGTGTGTTTAGGGGCTAGTACACCAGTCCTGCAAAAAGTCCATAAGCCCCAATATGCCCACCGACAGTCTTAAGGGCCATACACGCAAATAAAAAGTGCATACATTTTCACAATCTCCCAGGGGGCCCATGTAGTCATCTTGGGAGGAGGTGGCGTAGGGCAAATTTGCCATTTAAAAGGAGCCAGGTCACAAAATATGGTTGTAACGGTGTCAATCCATATCTGCCAAATGTTGATGTAGGGGGACCAGTCCCTATTCTGCTCTGTGTCAGTGTGTATCAGGAACCTTAGGACAGGTGTCAATCCATATCTGCCAAGTGACCCGATGTAGGGGGAACAGTCCCTATTCTGCTCTGTGTCAGTGTGTATCAGGGATCCTTAGGACAGGTGTCAATCCATATCTGCCAAGTGACCCTATGTAGAGGGACCAGTCTCTATTCTGCCCTGTGTCCGTGTGCATCAGGGCTCTGAGACAGGTGTCAATCCATATGTCAAGGTGTCAATATGTCATATGTCAGGTGTCAATCCATTGATTGGTGACTAGGAATGTTAGGTGATTTCCTTTGCCCCTTTATGGATTAAACCTCAGACTCTGTATCAACTTCGTACTTTCCGCCGGGAGTTTTTACATGGATTCCTCCCGGCATGCCACACAGTCCAGGTGTTAGTCCCCTTGAAACAACTTTTCCATCCCTATTGTGGCCAGAAAGAGTCCCTGTGTGTTTTAAAATTCGCCTCCCCATTGAAGTCAATGGCATTTCGGGCGGTTCGCCGGTTCGCGAACATTTGCGGAAGTTCGCGTTCGCCGTTCGCGAACCGAAAATTTCGGGTTCGCGACATCACTATATACAAATAGCTTGTTTGAAAATTAGTCTTCATCTATTTTTCTGCCCAATGCAGCCATTTCTGCTTGTGAGCATTGGTTAGTGGTGGCTGAATGGAAGGTTTATGCACAATTGCAAAACTCTGGAAGACTCTACACCTTGATGTCCGTGAGACTCCAGAGGCACCAGCAGCTTCAAATATCTGTTTGCTGCTATGTAATGGTATTTTAGCAGCTGCTCTCTTGATCCGATGCATGGATCTGGCAGATATCTTCCTCAATGTGCCTTTATCTGCACAAACCCGTCTGTGCTCTGAATCAGCTACAAATCTCTCAATAGTGCGATGATCACGCTTAAGTTTTCCTGAAGTATCTAATGTTTTCATACCTCGTCCAAGGCATTGAACTATTTCACTCTTTTCGGAAGCAGAGAGATCCTTTTTCTTCCCCATATTGCATGAAAATGGTGCTCTTCTTAATAATGTGGAACACCCTCCTTTAGTAGTTCCTCCTTAAATTGGGCTCACCTGGCAATATAATTATCACAGGTGTCCGAGATTGTTTTCAGTGATCAAAAGAGCCCTGAGACTCAATGCCATCCATGAGTTAAACTGAAAAACAAAATATTTAATCTTTGTGACATTTAAATAGAATTTGCATAATAATTTGGAACAGGGTGTACTATATGATACTATGCTATACAGTACTATAATATACTATACTGTATGATAAAATGCTATACTGTACTATACTATACTATGCTATATTATATGCTATATTATATGATATGAAGGACCGCCTGGCACCCGGACTGAGTGCCTCCACCAATCGCTGCTTCCTAGCTGTCATAGAGTACCATAAGCACTGCACCGGACACCATAAGCACTGTAGCCCCTTAGCCGCCACAGCTTGGCTGGGGTCTCGCCATCCCTTCTCACCCTGGACCAAACCCCTGGATCCAGCTCCCAGTAAGGAGACCTCTCCTCCAAGAGAGTATAGCTGAAATAGCAGTGTAGTTTTAACAAGAGTATCATGATATAGCAACCCCCAGAGCAGATACAGTTGTTCCCCCCACACATGAGATGAGACTCTATGCTGAGGGTAGGCAGGAACTTGATTAATGGATTATCCCTCCGTGCAGCAGAACCGACAATTCACATTAAAATACATAACTTTTCGAATACTTGACAGATTTAAACGAATGGACGTTCGGTAGATAGCTGGGGTCTGGGCGCATCATTCGTGAGATTACCGCTCAGATCCCAGCTAAAATAACCGAACGTCGCACGAAAAACACATTCATTACAAAACATATTAAAAGAACCGATTGCCTTCCAGGGAATAAAATACTGAACGGCCTGAAACTCCCGAACGTCCTGGAGGCTCAGCGGTGTTCGTGCCGTCGAGTAGCCGTTTTTAGTACCATGCGCTCGACGACCTAACACCGCTGAGGGAACAAAGGATCCAAGATGGCCGACCGCCGCATGGTCAGTAGTCGAACGACGGCCACCCAGGAGAGCCTCTAATTACCGATTGCAACATTGTTGCAATCGGTTAATAGGTGCCACACGCCTCTAAGTGTGTGGGCTATAAAATGATATGTCGTTCGTTTCCCGAACGGCCCGCAAAGGTGCCGTTTGTGAAACGAAAGGAATTAGCTATCTGCGGTCGGCAGATAGCCCAGGCAGGAGATACAGCATTAACATTGTATTACAGTATACGCTCTAACACACACAAGGAACCCCATACCGGCAACCCTTAAAGCGACAGTACAAAAATAATGTCCAAGTGGCTAGGTTTGCCACAAGCGTTATACATGCTGCTGCTGGGAGGCGTGGAGGACGCGAGCGGAGGAGAGTAGATGCCGCTCGCCAACAGGTAGGAGGAGGGAAGACCCTGACAGTTGGGAACCAAGTTTGGGGTTGATTCACTGCTGGAACACGCTGTTTAATTGCTTTGTTAGGCCAGTTTGTTTTGAAGTGCTTCCATCCGTGTTGCTTGCTAGGCCATGCCCCCCTTTATATTTTGGGATCATTTATTTATTTTTTAGGATTTACCTCCACAAAAACAGTGCAGATGTATAATTAAACAAACTGCATATATTTTTAATGACTCTTTGTAATAAAAGAGAGATAGGTTTCAATGTTTAACACATTTAGACTCACATGGATGTCAATAATATGTTTCTAGGTGTAATCATGCCAAATATCTGTTTTTACAGCTACAACTACTTTTTCTTCCACAACCTCTTCAACAACAACTGCAAGAACTACATTTACCCCAACAAATGTTCTAACTATCACAACAAAGGCTACACCAACCATTATATTAAGCACAAGTACACAGTTCATTACAAGTACACCTAGCACAACTACTTTACAAACCAAAACACCAGATACAACTGCTTCAATAACACCAACACCTACAAGTACAATGCCAAATATAACCACCTCGATTACAACACCAACACCTACAAGAACAACAAATAATATAACCACCTCAATTACCAAACCAACACCTACAAGTACAACGCCAATAATAACCACCTCGATTACAACACCAACACCTACAAGAACAACAACAAATATAACCACCTCAATTACAACACCAACACCTCCAAGTACAACACCAAATATAACCACCTCAATTACAACACCAACACCTCCAAGTACAACACCAAATATAACCACCTCAATTACAACACCAACACCTCCAAGTACAACACCAAATATAACCACCTCAATTACCAAACCAACACCTACAAGTACAATGCCAAATATAACCACCTCAGTTACAACACCAACACCTACAAGTACAACGCCAATAATAACCACCTCAATCACAACACCAACACCTACAAGTACAACACCAAATATAACCACCTCGATTACAACACCAACACCTACAAGTACAACACCAAATATAACCACCTCAATTACCAAACCAACACCTCCAAGTACAACACCAAATATAACCACCTCAATTACTCTTCCAGCATCTAAACCACCAAACATCAGCACTTCAGTTACCACAGTGAACTCTACTAGTCTGACAGCAAAGATAACTACAACAATTACCTCATCAACAATTACAAGCGCAACACCAAATAAATCGACAACAGTTGCCATGACAACATCTACATCACCAAACACTTTAATAACCACACCACAAATTACAAGCATAACACCAATACCAGCAAGTACACCACAAGAAAAAAACACTTCAATCTCTACTTCAGCATCTAAAACACCAATCAGTACTGCCTCTACCATGCCTAAACCATCAACACCAAACTCAACCACCTCAATTACTGCTACAACAGGTGCAAGCACAAAACTTAGCACAAAAAAAACAATTACTTCAAGAAATGCTATTTCAAATAGCACCCCGATTTTACCATCCAGCACAGCCAACTCAGGTACTACTATAACATTACAGAGCACCACCAGTCCACGAATGATGCCCTCCCTATCAGCAAATACTGGTGAGTACATTTTTTTTCTGTCTTTGCCTCAATATTACGTGATGAATACATATTAATTCCATAAATATGTGTATTTATTGCAATATTTAGGAAAACCAACTAATTTAAACTATGCTTATGGTATAACCCCATGCTGCCAACTAGTTATCTCCAGCCTTTTGTTGATTTCCAATTCTAAAAGAGACATGATATAGGTTGAAGTTGTTGGATATACATCGGCTGTATGTGACAACCTATCAGCCTATAAATACACTGTGCATTAAAGCACTTAGAAAAATTAGTGAAATTATTTTGCAGTTTAGATGAATGGTGGAAATTAAGTTAAGATAGCAGATTAATGGGCTGGCGTTGCATAAAGGAGATAAATACAGCCACAGGATAACTGTTGTAGCTGAGGAAAAGAAAAACTGATGAGTTTGATAACAGAGAAAGGCAGACAATGTAGTAAGACTAGAACTAACTGTTAACAGTTCCCCTTATTGATTCTGTTTCATTATATAATATGTGATCTTTACAGTAACAGAGACTCCAGAACTTCCGGTTCATGTCATCATCATCATTGGCTTGGTCATCGCTGCATTTCTGCCCATTTTGTTGGCAGGAATCCTCCTAGTAAGTTGCATACACATCAACTTACTTACAAATACAAGCATGTTACAAAAATATATTGCACACAAATCTTTCATGTATGTTATTCATCATGATGCATTACAATACACTGAGAACCAGTGAGTGCTATGTTCCTATCTTCCCATATTCATGTTTACCCTATGTTCCTATCTTCCTGTATACGTGATTACCCTATGTTCCTATTTTCATATATTAATGAATACATTATATTCCTTTCTTCATGATTACCTTATGTTCCTATGTTCATGATTGTAACGGAGCTCCTAGTACTCCAACTGAGTACCTCCGTTGATGGATGCTCCGTTGATGGATGCTCCTAGTGCTTCCCGAGGGCTCCAAGCACTCCTCCAGACACCATAAGCACTGCAGACTGAACCTCTCTTCCTTCAGAGAGCGAAGCAGGAACAAGCTCTTAAAAGAGCTTAGTGATTATAGCCAATGTATAGCAATCCCCAGTGTAAATGCAGCCTTTCCCCCCACACATGAGACGAGGCTCTATGTTGAGGGTAAAACAGGAACTCAGCAGCCTGAGGGTTTAATGGCATTTATATGCAACTTTTCCCACAAGGTTACCACCCATGTGGTCTTGTGGAACAACCAATCAAAACATTACAATACAATCAAACACTCCCATTCATTCCAGCAAAATCCTCCCCTCTGCCTGTGATAGAATTACTGTAGACAATGGGCTAATGTAATGTAAAAATACACAGTTTTACACAATATTCATAACTTTAAGAGTATACGTCACATTCACATTAAACTTACATATTCTGAACCAGCATACACAGTATACAAACATATGTAAAAATCATACAAATTGGTCCAGTGGTTCAAAAGTTAGATGGAAGTCCTTTTTGACTGACTGCAAGCATGGCTTTCCTGCCCTAAACCAGTTCCACAGAGTTAGCTGTGCAGCCGGTCTATCTTCTCCTCTATCCTCGAGATAATTGGCTTAACTGGGTGTGGTAAGTCAATTATCTTCAGGTACAGAAAATATCTCCATTCACAACAGCAGCAAAAATACACAAAAATAGATAATTCCCATTACACTGAACAGAACCCCCACATTCAACCTATCCCCAGATAGCTTGGATCTGAGCACTCAATATATCAGACTAGGGCTCAGATCCCACGAACAGAATAAAATCGCCATAGCACGGGCTGATGAGAGTTTGAAGAGGGACAAAGCAGCCAGTTTCATTTAAAGGGCCAGAACAGTCTTTTAAACACCAATAAGTCCAAATAGTGTTTTAAAATGGCAATACTTCCCAGGGGCCATAGTCATGAGGCAGGAGGCTGGCAATCAGGCTTCTCCATAAGCCAGGTAAACAGGGCAATTTGTCACATAAAGAACCAGTTACAAAAGGCAGTTTGTAACAATGATTATGTTCCTATCATCCTATATTAACTATTACCCTATGTATCTATCTTCCTATATTTGTAATTAATTATGTTCCTATCTGTAGCCAGGCCTGTTGACAACCTGACCAGTTGTCCTTGTTCAGCCACATCTTGTCCCTGAAAGGAAACCAATTATAATATAGAGAGACCCATTTCCCACCCAGTAACCGGACGACACACAGTCCTGGGGGTACAACACCAACTTTATTGGCCACACTCAACTTTATACTCTCCCCATGCAAAGGGTGGATAAAATACAATGACAATGTCCCCTCTCAGGATCCTCCCCCTCCCAGGGGTCACATAACAGAACCAGAACCCCAATCCCTTTGTCCCTGCATGTGACAGGAACTTCAGTCCCTTTGTCCCCAGTTCCCGCCACTCATCCCCAGGGTTTCCCACCTCCGAGGACCAGGGCTCTGTATACCAGGCTCTGTACCTGGGAGTCCCAGCGCGGGAAAGTTAAATTAGGTTTCGTGGTGGTCCCTGTTCGGGAAGTGAACGGAACTCATTCGTATGGGATCTCTCGAATGGGGAGCAGGTAAAACACGGGAATATAACACAACACAGTGGAGACACTGGGAATGACACATATCAATTCATGAACAGGCAGCGGTCCCACCACAATATCTTCCTATATCCATGATTACCCTATGTTCATATCTTCCTATATTTATGAGTACCCTATGTTCATATCTACCATGATTCATGATTACCCTGTGTCCTGTTCTTACTATATTTGTAATTAATTATGTTCCTATCTTCCTGTATTTATGATTATCCTATGTTCCTATATTCCTTTATTTATGTTTACCCTATGTTCCTATCTTCCTTTATTCATAATTATGGTATGTTCCTATATTCCATTATTTATGATTACCCTATGTTCATATCTACCCATATTCATGATTACCCTATTTTCCAATCTTCCTATTTTTGTAATTAATTATGTTCCTATCTTCCTTTATTTATGTTTACCCTATGTTCCTATCTTCCTTTATTCATGAATACCCTATGTTCCTCTGTTCCTATATTTGTGATTACCTTATGTTCTGATCTTCCTATGTTCATGATTACCCTATGTTCCTATCTTTCTGTATTTATGATTAACCTGTGTTCCTATCTTCTTATATTCATGATTATTGAATGTTCCTATCTTACTTTATTTATGTTTACCGAATGTTCCTATCTTCCTTTATTCATGATTACCATATGTTCCTATTTCCCTATATTTGTGATTACCTTATGTTTCTATATTCCCATGTTCATGATTACCCTATGTTCCTTTATTCTTATATTCATGATTACTGTATGTTCCTATTTTCCTTTATTTATGATTACCCTTTGTTCCTATCTTCCTATATTTGTAATTAATTATATTACTATCTTCCTATATTCATTATTATCCTATGTTCCTATCTTCCTATATTCATTATTACCCTACGTTCCTATGTTCTTACATTCATTGTTACCCTATGATCCTATCTTCCTATATTCATGATTACCTTATGTTCCTGTCTTCCTATTCTCATTATTATCCTATGTTCCTATCTTCCTATATTAACATAGAAACATAGAATGTGACGGCAGATAAGAACCGTTCGGCCCATCTAGTCTGCTCAATTTTCTAAATACTTTTATTAGTCCCGGGCCTTATCTTATAGTTAGGATAGCCATATGCCTATCCCACGCTTGCTTAAACTCCTTTACTGTGTTAACCTCTACCACTTCAGCTGAAAGGTTATTCCATGCATCCACTACCCTCTCAGTAAAGTAATACTTCCTGATATTATTTTTAAACCTTTGTCCCTCTAATTTAAGACTATGTCCTCTTGTTGTGGTAGTTTTTCTTCTTTTAAAGATAGTATCCTCCTTTACTGTGTTGTTTCCCTTTATGTATTTAAATGTTTCTATCATATCCCCCCCCTCCCCCCTGTCTCGTCCAAGCTATAGGTGTTAAGATCCTTTAATCTTTCCTGGTAAGTTCTATCCTGAAATCCATGAACCAGTTTAGTTTTTCTCTGAACTATTTCCAAAGTATCAACATCCTTCTGGAGATATGTTGTACAGTACTGGGTACACTACTCCAAGTGATATCTCACCAGGGTTCTGTACAATGGCATGAGCACTTCCCTCTTTCTACTGCTAATACCTCTCCCTATACAACCAAGCATTCTGCTAGCATTTCCTGCTGCTCCCTTTCCTCAGATGTTGAGGTTGGGACTCTATCAAATATTCTGTACTCTGCCCTTGGGTTTTTACGTCCAAGATGCATTATCTTGTACTTATACATATTAAATGTCAGTTGCCACAACTCTGACCATTTTTCTAGTTTACCTAAATAATTTGCCATGTACGCTACGCAGCGCTTTACAATGGGTGGACGAACAGACATGTAGTTGTAACCAGACAAGTTGGACACACAGGAACAGAGGGGTTGAGGGCCCTGCTCAATGAGCTTACATGCTAGAGGGAGTGGGGTAAAATGACACAAAAAGGTAAGGATAGTATTAGACTAGTGACAGTTGCAAAGAGGAATCAGTCAGGAGCTATTAACAGTTTAATTGATACGCTTTTATGAAGAAGTGGGTTTTTAACGATTTTTTGAAGGAGTGGAGACTGGGTGAGCATCTAACGGAGGAGGGAAGCGAGTTCCACAGGAACGGTGCAGCCCTTGAGAAATCTTGAAGGTGTGCATCAGAGGTGGGAGTACGGACAGAAGATAGATGTAAGTCTTCAGCAGATCGTAAGGGCCTAGGCAGCACATACTTGTGTATAAGGGAGGATAGATAGGTGGGAGCAGCATTATGTAGAGATTTGAAAGCAAGAACCCGAATTTTAAATTGAGCTCTATATTTTATAGGAAGCCAATGTAGGGACTGACAGAAGGGTGAGGCAGAAAGGAAGATGAGCCTCGCCGCCGCATTCATTATGGACTGCAAGTTGGGAGCACGTAAGACCACTGA